CACAAGTGCATATCCTTTTGAGATATCAATTATAATCAATTTTAATAAAACACAAGATTACATTATATAACTCTAACAGTAGGCTATTTAATATCTGTTGTTCTCTGGTTGTCAGTCAAAATGACAGTTCTTGCAACATAGTCCTATATATACCAAAGCTAATTTATTATAATTTATTATTCTTTCCTTTCTTTCTTAGTGTTTAAAATATTTATTTTGAAACAAATTAATTAATTTCTTAATTAAACAAACAGACTTACTGGGTGAGCAGGGTAGGCTATGACAGCTGTCATATCATACCCTGCCATGCCCAGCTGATGCAAAGAGATGAAATGTAGTTGCAATAAATGTGTTAAGAATCCATACAACTGCAGCAGCTGAGGACTATTATTCTGCTGTGTGATACTGCGGAAGAACTGATGACGGCACGGTTTGATCTTCGGTTGACAAATCAGCAAGAAAGGGGCGTTTAATTCCCGCCCACATGCAGAAATCGAATATTCAAGCTGTTTATTAATTTTTCCACCCATGAATGAAAAACGAAAATTTAAGCTGTTTTTTGGAAAAAAACGAAAAAGGAGCCGTTTTCTCATTTTTCTACTTTCAATATTAAATTAAAAAAACGAATGATCGAATGATACACGGATTAAGCGCGAAGGACGAGATTGTTTGGAAAGAGTGTAGTTAGTGCCGTGATCTGGTGAAGTGTTACACTGCACTGCTGGGTATCGGACAAGGACAACCTTGAGAGCCAGCGGGCTGTTTCTCACATGAAAGCAATCTGGCATCTACAGTCAGGTCACATGACAGTGTTTTGTAAAGCACACTGAGTGTAAAACCCAATCATCTTACGACTAGATGAGCCTGAAATGTTTATTGCCAAGACAAGCCGATGCTACGGTCACATTTTCAATCACAAAATAACATGCATATTATTTCTAAATCCACTCTAGACCATTAATCACACACATCTGTAGTTTAATTTAAGCGCACACTTTCTCTGTATCTCTGATTCTTCATTCTTATTACATTTTCTTTTTTTTAATTTTATATTTATATATTTTTTTCATTTTAATACTTTATTTTTATTTTATTGAAATACTTTATATTTTAATATTTTATTTGTACTACATTTCATTTTCTTGTATTATTCTATATATTAATCTAACTATATTTTATTTATTTTATCATTTTATTTGCCAGATAGAAAGATTTCCAAGTAATATAACATCAATAGTTAAAAAGAGTACGTTTTTGTGTTCATGTTTGTCAGGGAAGTGTCTCATTACTGACTTAAAGCACCATGAGAGTCAGGAACATCATCGTTTAAGTGTAATATCAATTGATTTTGCAACATATTTTACTTCTAGTGGGATAAGCACTGATCCACAGACCTGTCCATTCCTTCACAGCTCTACACTGGGAATACACTCTTGACCTTTGGCCTCTGTGGGTCAGTCACACTTACACGAATGGACTCTGTTCATAAACTCCATCAGTGCTTTTGGCACAGGAGAATAAGCCAATCAAATTTACATGGCTGTTGCTAGGAAACAGAGTGGGTTTATGTAAGCTAATACTAGAGATGCTCGGGCCCAGAGTGAGAGCTGAAAAAAGCTGTATTGATTGAAGGTTAAAACACCATTTATTCACCACTAAATAACTAAAGGACTCACAGATAGCTTTCACGTTCGCTTTTCTCTTTCGCTATCTGATGGCTTACAGGAGCTCGCCAAGGCCAAATCCGCATCTAAATTCTTTGTACGCTCACATTTAAAGTGTTTTTCAGTTCCTTTAGGTGTTGTTTTTGTAAGGAAACCTGAGAAACATTTATCATTGTTCACTTCTAACACCCACACTTACATATGCTTCATAGTCACATGACTGGAATATAAGCTTCTCAGGATGGTGCTGCCAGTACTGCACCGGCGTAGATGACGTCGCCTCGTTCGGAGGCCGTAACGTGATTGGCTCGCACCATTCCCCTTGCTGAAAAGGAGGGTAGTGGAAAAACAAACATTAGTAATCAAATCAAGGTCCACAGTTTAGGTTACAATCACAAAAGCTGATGGTATTATTGATTTTTTTTTATACTTTATCGCTTTAAAGGGGTCATATGATACGATTTAAATTTTTTCTTTCTCTTTGAAGTGTTACAAGCTCTTGGTGCATAAACAAGATCTGTAAAGTTGCAAAGACTAAAGTCTCAAATACAAAGAAATGTTCTTTATAAAATTTAAGAGTCAAACACGCCTACCTAAAACGGCTCGTTCTAACACGCCCCCACATGTCTACGTCACGATGTGGGAAGATTTGCATAACACCGCCCAAATGTTCACGCAAAGAGAGACAGCGTAACTTTTATTCTCGCTGTAGTATTGTTGTTGCCGCCGCCGCCGCCGCCATGTCGTGAAGACGCTGTGTGTTTCGTTGTGAAAGCGAAATTACTTTGTTTGGCCTTCCAAAAGAGGACACGACTAGAAATCAGTGGTTAAGTTGTATTTACAACACTGTTCCAGAACAGTTCAACCCAAATATTCAGAAGTGTCCAGCGCATTTTATGGAGGACTGTTTCCTGATCCTGGTAGAGTAGACTACAATGCCAGCTGTTCTGACTCTCAGTCTGTAAGTATGTTTTTTATATTTAAAGAATTTGCCACTGACGATTCAAACGCGAGTTTTGAGCAGTGTAGAGTAGCACTTGTTGTTTGTCATTTCTCCGATCACAAATGCAGACATGGTTTTATGTTTACGCGGTAAAAAAAACGGTATATGTCATTATAATCCGTAATTATGTCCCCACTGGATGCAACAAATGCCTCGTTTATAATGGGTTTTCATGTTTTTGAATCGTCGCTCCGGCCGGGACATGGCATCACAGTATAGTAAGGGGCGTAACTTTTCCGTCACACGCTTGAGGTATTCGGCCAATCACAATGCACTGGATAGCTGGCCAATCAGAGAACACCTCGCTTTTCAGACCGATGAGCTTTGTAAAAAACGAGGAAGGCGGCCCATAGAAAAGAAACAATAATGTACAATATGTGGAAAATAATGTGTTTTTTGAACCTTAAACCGCATAAACATTTCATTACACCAAATAATGTTCTTTTTAGCAACATCATATGACCCCTTTAACACAACACCATTTTGAACTAAACACAGAAAATATTTTGGCCATTAATTTACATGACAAAGACGGTTTGGAGGCCTGAAAATGCAAACTATACCGTTATCGTCTCTGCTGTCGTCTGTATGCATTAATGCAAAGAAAAAACATTTTCATTTTTAGTATGTTGTCGTGTCAATGTACCTATAGTTTTCTAGATTTTTTTTTTCATAGTTTTCTGATTTTTTGAAATTGAAAATAAAACAGATTTTTGGAGTACACTTTACAAGAAAATACTATTCCAGTTTTTCTACTTCAAATTTTGACTTTTAAATTAATGTTTCTTGCTGTTTCTTAGAAATTGCTAGTAAATTTCACAAAAAATTCAAAGAGAAAATCCTTTCTACAATTTAAGCAGTTCTGTTCAGCTTTTTGTATTCGGTCTAAAGCCCTTTTCTCACTCTTTCACTCTTTTTCTTTGTCTCTCTCTCCCTCTGTAATGATACATGGAGACACAGGGCAGGAAAAACTGATAAAGGGTAAAAGAAGAAGAGGACGTAAGGTAATTTTGCAACCTTTTGTCATTACGTTTTGTGTGATAACTCATTCTATTCACAATCACTGCAAACACACCGGCACACGCATCAATGATAAGCTCACAATGAGAGATCATAGCCACAACACATTCACAATCGCATTTAACACACCACAATGCTGATTTATTATGATATTATCAGGACATAAATGTGCACGAAGCACAATTGGTCACACCAAAACTGGAGGACTTGACGCAAGTGCACTAACTCACCATACTGACTTGTGCCATCTGTCTCTCTAGTTTGGAGCGCGGCACATCCTCGAAGTAGTTGTCGTTGCGTCTGCGTCTGGCGTCGGCCTGCATGATGAGGTGCTGGACGTCCAGGGAGCCGGCGTTGGGATAGGCCTGACTCAGAGAAGGGGACAGCTGAGGTGGAGTGTGGTTCCCGGTGGGCTCCTGCGGGAGGGCGATGAAGAAAAGGTTTTGGGTGGTTAGTAGAGCAATTGCCTTTGAGATGAATGGGAATGCTAACGGATAGCTTTCTCTAGGGATTTTCTTATTGGAGTTCTAGTTGTGTGCCTATTTTTGCTTTGTGTTTGAATTAATTTTTAGTCATACGGCCCACCGTTTCTATATCAGACAGTCCTCGTCCTTTGATTAAGAAGGAATACAATCTGTGGCCCAAAGGAACTCTGATTTCTGTTGCTCTGGACTGGCTTTGGTATCGATTTGACTCCTGGAAAAGAGTTTGAGAGCAGCTGTCTGATCCAGCCTGGAAGATCAAGTTAAATCCCTGGAGCGGCTCAGGGCATAAGAATGCCATCGCTCTCAAGATAAGACTAAACTGCACAGAAAATGACATTTTCTGTTTTCTTAAAAACATTTCTCTGTCTAAACATAAAATACTGCATACAGCATAATGAGTGACATTTAGGATGAACATTACATTTATCATTGCTAGGTGACTGACAACATAACAGACATAATGTGAGGGGAGTTTTTGTTGGAGAAAGAGGAAGATTTGGACTCACCCTTAGAGAGATGGCCCGTGGTGGTTTCTGTGGAGGGTCTTCGTGCAGTCGATCTCCAAGTGACGCTAGTATTCTTTTCCTGTGGCCGATCAAATTAATCTTAAGAACCTGAATGAGAGAAAGAGACGGGAAAAGTGAGTGCTGTGCATTTATTCCTGTGAGTTTAGTCCTCTGAAATTTGGGGCAAATTCACTAAACAGTTTTGTCACTTTTGTGCAGAGTATTGCAGCGCGACAAACTCATTCTTATCACCACCTTCAAGTTTCAAGCAAACACGAAATCAAAATTAACTTGCTTGTTAATGAAACTTCTTGGTTTTATCTGTGGATGGTATTCTAAATTAAAATAAAATAAAACATTTTGTCATAAACTTTAATAAAATGTCATTTGTTCCAGCACGTAATAATAATAATAATAATAATAATAATAGAAGTTAAATAAAATGCAATGGATGAATGAATGTTTTCATGAACTTCAATAAGTCCATACATGTTTTAATAAAATGTAACTTGCTCCAGCACATACTGGATCATGCTAACTCACGTTTGGTGTGCAATGAATTTGTGAACTGCTAACTTATATATAGTAACCATGTTCTAAAATTCTCTGAAATAGAATTCACTGTGCCATATTTCAATCCAATAATTAAATTTTATTCAGTGTAAACATGCCTTCTTTCCATACTTCCTTCAGTGAATCGGGCACTAAAACCACACAGACAGCGTTTTATATTCACTTTTTATATTCAAGTTTTTGTCCTCAGGAGCTTTTGTTTTACTGTCTGAAGTGCATTAGGAGTGTAATAATAGTAAAGGATGGTCACTAAAGAATCCCGGTCAATCTGATGAAACTTAAAGAACACACACACAGAAAGAGACCACAAACACACAAAGATCAATAATGTCTCTAAGACTCCTACTTTTTCAGTCTGCCCCATTTTCTCTCTCTCTCTCTCTCTCTCACACACACCCACACACCACACACACACCACACACACACCACACACACACCACACACACCACACACACACACATAAATACCGCAACCTCGATGAACAGGGAATTACTCCACCCAGTTAATGAACAGTGTTCTGTCACTCAGTTGAGCCATTACTGTAAACCAGGTTGCACAGAGGCATCAAATGCATGTTAAAAAGCTGCTTTAGTCACAACACACATGGTAGCTTTTCATTGGCCGCCTCATTTCTGTCCCTATAGCAACAATTTTCTCTAGCTTCATATAAAATGATCACCACTATTTTATCCTAGAAAATCAAATCAATGGGAGGATATTTCCTTTCAGCACTAATCATGGTTTTCGATTACGACATAGTGTCCGGAACTGACAATTCAATGCTGAGATTATGACCTGCAGATAAAGGAGCAGAGCTTCCATGATTGTCCATGTTCATGACTCTTCCATGACCTTCCCAGTTTATGACTACTGGATAAGGATTTTTGACAATAATTGTGACACTAGTTTTCCCATTTATTTGCAAAATGAATCGACTGGTTTGAGTGTTTTTGAATGATTAATTGGTGGAAAAAACACCCAAAAATGCACACAAAAAAGAAGCTTTTGAAATGTAGATATCCTTCGAGCAAGTCTTACTTTTTACAAGAAATGTATTTAGCCAACTGAATATTTCAGAGCAGATGGGATAGAAAAATATGCATTGAATTATTTACTTTAATTATTATATATTATAATAACATGTAATTTATTAAAATTTTCATGTTAACGTGTGTGAAAGAATATTACCAATATTTAGATTTTAGTTTAATACAGTTGCCCACTGCGAACACCTTCACTTCCCTCAGTACCAAATCCATTCCAAGAAAGGAAAAACAAATGTCTGCAGGCTAAACAATTGTTCATACTGGCTAAAATACCTCCATCTTCATGGGCAGCACTACTTACAGGAGCCACACATTTTAACGCTTTGGGTTAATGATCCCCTGTGCTTGTCTTTAAAGCCTCTCATGTCTAAAATCAATTTGTGTAAGGAGGTTTAGGATTGTGTGCACCAGAAACTCATTAACCCTGTTTAAACCCTCTGGAGATGCCACAAACAATCCAATCTGAAGCAGCCAGCAGCCGCTCTCCCTCAGGCCCACGTTGGCCAGATTACAGGTGGTTAGGGCAACAGAGACTGGAACTGGACGGAAACCCCTTCAGGACTACAGCAGGATGTGTGCTTGCTGAAATTAGACAGTCTGTTTGAGATAATTTGCCAGTTTGGGAGTTTAAACCACATAAAACGTGATTTCAATGTGCCTGGAGGTTTCACATGAGAAATAAAGTACACAAACACACAAGGACACAGCTATGCTTGTCTGAAGTAGTCAGACTTGTGTTTTTGACTATTGACAAAGTCTGGTCCACTTCGTAGGTTATTCTGGCCAAGAATTATTCCTGCTCAGTTCTTGGTAGGGTTGACTGATACAGACATCTAAAAGTTCTAAAATTGTTAAAAAATAGATATATATTTCTCAGTCTTTTCAACCCCATTTAATACACATTCATTTGTATTTAGTCTGAAATGCATAAAACTAAAATTTAATAATGTAGTCTGTACCATATTGATTATATGTGAATATGTGATTTTTTTTTAATCGTACTGGCAGTTACTATATATTTAATTGTAAATGCTCATTTTCCATATATTTACATTACCTTTGCCATCATCAAAGTTAACACTAATAATTTAATAATACTGTTAAATGTAATCTTTAGCAAATCTCAAAATTAATATCTATTTTTCATATGGTATATTATAATGTGATGCATACATTTACTTGTAGCATTTAAATTTAGTATTTATGTATTTTTTTAAAAATTGTAGTGAATTTTAATAACAGCCATAACATGCAAATAATTATTTATTTTTTTATTATTTAAATAACGACGTAGTAGTGTCAACAGACCTTTGATTGCATAAACCTTGCGAGCATTTTGACTAGAAAACCTAGCTCTTCATTGGATGCAATAATTAGCAGCTCTTGTAAAGACTAAGTAAAGCCAGCAGTAAAGCCAGCCAATCAGATTGAGGCTTGCAAACTTAATAATGCTTGTGCCATTCTTGCAGCCATGCATCAATAGTTCTTTAAATCTGAATACAGACATGTAGAAGTTAATATAAGCTATTTATATTCCAGCTTGCATGCCATTGCAGTATGAATCGGACAAACAAAAGGAGAGAAAACAGGAGGAAATTAACAAAGAGAGGATGCTGAGTGTGTAAGGTTCAGTACTGCCTTACTGCATGACGGTAAAAAGCAGAGGAGATTGAATTTCATTTAAATGCAAATGTGCAGAACAGGCTGCAGTCGAGATGCAATGTGCCATGGAGAAATACTGTACAGACTGGACGACAGCGCAAACGGCTCTAAAATTGTAGTGAATTTTAATAACAGCCATAACATGCAAATAATTATTTATTTTTTAATTATTTAAATAACGACGTAGTAGTGTCAACAGACCTTTGATTGCATAAACCTTGCGAGCATTTTGACTAGAAAACCTAGCTCTTCATTGGATGCAATAATTAGCAGCTCTTGTAAAGACTAAGTAAAGCCAGCAGTAAAGCCAGCCAATCAGATTGAGGCTTGCAAACTTAATAATGCTTGTGCCATTCTTGCAGCCATGCATCAATAGTTCTTTAAATCTGAATACAGACATGTAGAAGTTAATATAAGCTATTTATATTCCAGCTTGCATGCCATTGCAGTATGAATCGGACAAACAAAAGGAGAGAAAACAGGAGGAAATTAACAAAGAGAGGATGCTGAGTGTGTAAGGTTCAGTACTGCCTTACTGCATGACGGTAAAAAGCAGAGGAGATTGAATTTCATTTAAATGCAAATGTGCAGAACAGGCTGCAGTCGAGATGCAATGTGCCATGGAGAAATACTGTACAGACTGGACGACAGCGCAAACGGCTCAATCACACAAGCGGAGCTTGTATGATATGTATAAGACTCACATTACACATGCAGCAGGGGTGATAAAGAGAAGCAGCCATGTGTTTTAATCACTGTGACTGCTCGCGAACATAACCGCACCACCGGGTACAGTATGCTGACTGCGGTGTAAGCTACTGAGAGAAAGCACCAGAGCTGCATCCTAATTCACATTCTAACTGTACTGAATATGAGATTAGGATTCATAGTGCACTAAATATAGTATGGCAAAGGTGTCTGGATGGTTTTTCTGGTAGATTTTCAGGCATTTGTGAATTGCTTGAGCTAATACTGACTAAAAGCTAATTGAAAAGCACTTTGTAATGGTTCTCTTTCGACTTTTCCAGTAACAGTTCTTTTTCTGTAACAGTAACAGTGTATGAACCTAAAAATAATGATGCCACTCCTGCATAAAACCCGAGCAAAATTAATCTGTTCTAACTGCTCATCAAAGCACTCCTGCACAAACGGTTGCACTCAATTCAATTGTTTAAACAAATTTGTTAACTTCATATTTCATGTTTGAGGCCCAGTGATTACAAAGGTAATGCTTTTAGCTAGATGCTAATGCTACATACAAATGAAAACAGTACAGAAAAAAGAGGTCTGCGGCATAAATGTGGTAACAAACTATTAAATTAAAAAAATAAATAAATTTAAATAAAGCTTAAATAAAATAAAATATAAATATTAGATAAACTTAAACTAAAATACTTTTAAGTTGAACTACTAAATTTACAAAAAATTAGTCAAATGAAATTATAAAGAAGTTATTTCAGAATAATAATAAATACTATAATAGTATACATTTTTGTTGTAGTAAATAGTAAATAGTTATTTCTTGTTGCTCCTTTCAGTCTATGATTTGCCTACGAATAAAATACTAGGAATAAAAACAGTGATTCTACTGTGAAAGACAGACTAAAGGGCAAAGAATGGAAGCTGTTAGTGTGTAAACTCTGATTAAGAAACACCCAACTGCTTTACAGGACAATAAAGTGCAACTGCAGTTATCCAACAGCATGCTGCCGACCTTTCAAATCCAAAATCTTGATTTGCAACAAATTAATGCAGTCAAATTAGTGTGTTTATCTGCCAGCCAGTTAGGCCTATTTGACACCTAATCAGGCAGATCCTCATTGTGCATTCATTGGACAAAGAAAATCAGGGAGTGTGTGAAAGATTTGGGCGCTCTGTAAAAAGAGAACAGCACAAACCAGAGAGACCATTGACATTTTTACACAATAATTGAAGTGCTGTTAAAAACATTCAGCCGTTT